TGACGACCGCAGAGTTCTCACGGTCTCCTTATTTGTGACTATTCATTTGGAGTGGTGCGCTGGAAATCCAGAGTTCACAGTGGATTGGCATGAGGAGTGGTCACCACCTGTTGTGACGCTCAAAGGGATAATAGCGGCCGGGCGGCAAGGTACTCAACCGCATGGAACCTGAGGTGACAGTGAGAACGAGGAAGACTGAGAAATAATGCCTGACGGGCGGTTATCCCTTAACATTCCTATTACACTTATATATCCGGCAAAGCTTTAAACTGTAATAACTTCTGTTATCAACCTTAATTATAGGGCGGGATATAGCCCGCTAGGACACTGACCTGAGGTGACGGTAGAACGAGGAAGACTGAGGCATTGCCCTACGCTCTCGTCACTAGGCCTACAGTTTCCAATCCTGAATTTTCACTTTTGTTTTTATGGTTCTCACCTGAACACTTTTCGGTATATTGTCACTCATGCCTTATAAACACATATTTTAATCCTAAATTACACACTAAGGTAAGGTCTTGGTTTGCTAGTTCTTGGGTAAATTCATGGGGTTATAATATCAACGTGGCATCTGAGGCGGGTACATGACTTGCGCCTTGAAACAAAAGCTGAATGTTCATGGCGGGGTGTATCAACTTCACTTAAAACTGTAATGAGGTCCTCCTCTCACACATTGCACTATTTGAACACAGACATAAGATTCTCTGATCACTGTACCTGTCGTGGGTATATGTCACGTGAGGATACGAGGTGTATTAAATTCATACCGACGCATACAAGATATTTCCTTTCAAGTATAGTTTCTGGATCACTTCAACACCTCACATAGTTCTGATACATTATCTTTTTCCAGATCATTGTTCTCATGTATTTTCATGATATCTGTGGGAGTTATGTTCGCTACACGCTCACAGACGTAAATAGTATGACCTTCAAACCTGATCCACATAGTCTTACAGTACACTAGTCCGGCTCAACTGGACTTTAACATTCATCTTATGCATACCCTGAGTTCTCCTTAATGCTATGAATACATACACTTAATATGATATAACTGTACCTGGGTACAATACAACACATGGTCTAGGAACATTGAGTAGGTGAGTTGTCCTTTATCAATGTTTCCCGTTTTCTGAGGTTCCACAAGCGCGGTGCATTTGAATGTTATATAGCGTAATATGAATTAAATGGGATTTTTAGGAATGACAATGATGTGCGCAGTACAATCCAACCACTAATCAACTCCTACAATCCTCCCAAAACAAAAATTTAATATACCCGACCTTTCTAACAACCCCCTTCGACCCCCCTTAAAAAAAAAAATTTTTACATATGACTCAATACAACTATTCATTAGCCATACAAATCATATCACCCCTAAAAAATCCTACCATACTATAAATTAACCTAACAACCTCCAACCTCTCCTCCCCCTCCTCCCAACAACTCACCATACCTGACCTCACTAACAATTATCCTCCCCTTCCCCCCTTACTATATTGACACAAACACACACACACACAACAACCCCCCTTAAGCAATTCTAATTCAGCTCAAATCAACATGCCACCGCCACCCCCAACCAATCCTCAAATACAAACTCCCCTCCCCACAACCAATCTCCAAACACAGCCCCCCTTCCAGACAAAGCCTCTCATAATACTACAACTCTCCAGAACCAAACCAAACATACCCAACCTCTATGACAGCCACTGTCAACGAAATCGACCTAACTCAAGACTGAAACCAATCAACCTATATCTCACTCATCTCCGTTCACAATTTGACAAAAGCTCAAATCTGTCTCCTGCTATTACTAAAAACTCCTACGGTACGCTCATCCTTCCTTACTACGAATACTTTGACATTTCAAGATCAAAGATTCAAAACTCTTCCTCCCAACTCGCTCCATTTCTCTTCGACATAGCTCAAAGACCTACAACTCTCAGAACCAAATCAAACATACCCAACGTCTGTGACATCCAATCTCAATAAAATCGACCTAACTTAAGACTGAAACCAATCAACCTATATCTCATTCTCGTAACCGTTCATAATTTGATAAAAAAACTCAAATCTGTCTCCTGCTATTACTAAAAACTCTCCTACGATACGCTCATCCTTCCTTACTATGAATACTTTAACATTTCAAGCTCAAAGATTCAAAACTCTTCCTCCAACGCGCTCCGTTCCTCTTTGACATAGCTCAAAGACTTTACCTTCATCTTTCTCCAAACAACCCTACGACTAGCTACATTTCCATATTTTCACCTTCTCTATTACTTTGATCGTGTGTTGCCTGTGCGTCCGTCCACCTGCACTTCTCAGCTTGCGCCGCCGCCGTGGAAGGGCGGTTCTTCCTCCGCTTTGCCAACACTGCCTAAGCTAAGACGACAACCAGAGCACCCGCGTTAGCCCTTTGCTTGCCCGGTCCTGCTCCCGCCCTCCCTCTGCCTCGTCCTGATTGTGATTGTTACACCTACCGGGCACATTGCCTACCCCCTCACGCAAGCGGTGTTTAGCCACTGCACCTGTTCTCTCCTAAAATTCACTTCTATCCTCCCTTTATCCTTCCCCTGAACCTCTTCCCCCCCCTGTTATGAGGGACTGAGCTGCCACCATTATATTAGGGCCTGTGTGTCAGTAACAATTCCTTTTACTCTCATACTTATTACCATTGGTAGCGTGACGAGAGGGGCTGTGGGTAGATGTAATGATAATATCAAGTAATAGGGAAGAAATAACGGTAAATACTGTAGGTAAATAATAGACAATATACAAATACAAAATTTATTTAAACATTAATATGGAATTAGGAGAAAGAATATATATGTACCAACAGACGAAATCTGGTACTATGCCCTCCGGCTCAACATATTCACACCACTACTGGGTGAACATACTCAATAACACTCCCAACCCTACTGGGTGGACATACTCAATAACACATAACTCTTTTAGTCACTTAGCACCATAAAGACCAGGGACAACTGCCACTACGACACTCGGTCGTCAGGAGTGATACTCAAGCAACAGCCATGGGGTCCAGCCACCATGGGGTACTTTCAGACGAACTCTGAAGATCCCAGTGGATTAATCCCACCACACAAATAGCCCTACTGAGTTAGACACTCATCCACCAATGATGGGGCTGGTAGTGGTGTGTGGCTTGTGATCCGGGGTCACCTCGCAGGCCCAGCGTTAGGCCAGACGAGCCAGCTATGGGGCCATAGGTAGTCTTAAGTGTCTGACGGCCGGGTCTCACGAAGGTAACTGATCCTACTGGACCTCGGACATCTCCCCAGACATAGTGGATACAACATCCACGCTACAGACACGGCAGGCTGCATTAGGGACCTGTAAGAATGAAGGGCGAGCACTTACTAACAGTGACAACATCACATTTCAGGACGTTAAAGACGTAAATATGACTTCACCAGAGCAACACCTTCACTCAAAATAGGCCAGGAGTCCACCTACTTCTATTTCGATGAATTAATTTACTGTACACTCTGACGTTGAAACTGAAACTATGAACTCAGTTTCATTCTACTATTATCCTCACTAACAATGCTCTGACTCAGTTATCAAAAGCAAAATTAAATTGATTACAAAGGGTTGGATGGCAACAGATCCCAACATACAGCGTCTCTACGAAATCCGCGGATTATATTCAAAGGAAACAGAAAAACGGGGCACGTCAACTAATAACCCCAGAACTGATTGGTTTTTAATATGAATCGTCTGATTTCACGCTAACTGACGTGTACGACCATGGTCATTGCACTCTTACACTTCGTGACATTGAATCTCAGCAGTCATTTCTTCGACCATTCTTGGAGCCCACAGAGGTCCTTCTGCAGCTCTTCACAGGTCGTTCAGATATCCCTCGTAACGATCTTTAACAGTGAGTTACTTTCCCATCTGGAGCACTGCCTGGTCCCCGAGATATGCTACGGACTGTCAGTTGATTGAACATGTTCAAAGGAGGGCCACCAAACTGGTGCCTGCACTACGGCACCTCAGCTACCCTGAGAGATTAGAGCGCCTGAACTTGCCTAGCTCATATTACAGACGGTCAAAGGGAGACCTAATTGAGGTGTATAAGCATTTCAAAGGGCACTACTCGGTCGAGTGTCCTTACCTGGAGCTGGTGCATGCTTGCCCTACAGGGGGTTCCAGCTTAAGGTTGAAGATGCCGCAAATCCAGAAAACGGTGAGGGTGATCTTTACGGAGTGAGGGTTGTGATCTCGTGGATCAATCTGCCAGAGTTTTGTGAAGGCACCGAATGTGAGATGGTTCAAAGACCAGACTTGACCAGCATTGGAGCAGTTTCAGATACTTTCAAGAGCCAATGCATGCCTAGTACTCGCCACAGCGCGTAACAGAGACGTGGCCGAAATTGACTGGTCACCCAAGTGGTTAACGAGCTGATCCGTGGTGAAGAGGATAAAAGTAAAAAACGAAAGTAACTGAAATTCAGGACATGTGTTCGTAACAAAGAACCGGCTAGTAACCCGGCATGTGGCGATATGATAAGTTAAGAATAAAGATAATTAAACGATACCAGCATAGGTTACGTTAATTTACTTTGAAGTGCCTGAACATGCCCAGCATCTGTTGACGGTAGGAACCCGGGAGACAGCGACCGTCCGAACAAGTAACCTGACAAATAATTAAAACAACAAATATGAAAATATTAGTAAACTTAATCAAAGTAGTGCATGTTAATGTTACATATCGGATTTAGATGCTTTACACTGAAGCATACTTCTAGAATGTACACTAAAAAAGCAAATGGCATTTACTTTTACCATATACATAAGAAAATGTGGTGGAAAAATATGATTTGATGAAGTATAAGCATTACAAAAACTGAAGCATCTTTCAAAAAATTACAATATACGCGAACGTGAAAAATGCATTAAATTTTATAAAACAGTTGAGCATCAAAATTTTCTCATATTTTACCTTGGATCGTAAGAGAAAGTGAGAGAGGAAGCTTGTGATCCTCTTCCTCACAATACTGGCGTTTATGAGGCAGTGATTGTCAATCGTAAACAAAGTGGTCGCGTCGCTCAGTGGAGGTCTAATGTCTCAAATTAACTCTGGAGCAGACAGCTAAAGATACTGCCAGGATCAGGTAAGTTACGGTCGCTGATTTTGATTATTTCCGAATTAAAGTTTATTTGTCAGTCTTCCTCAAGCATTGTGTCTCCAAGTAAATGACACTAACGTCGAGTACCCTTTAGGTGATATACTAAATGAAATATTAGTGAGTTGTCATAGATGGCGGCCACAGGATAATACCGTAAGTATCGAGAGGAAATATTATGGAATACTCAGTAAGGTATTTTTGCAATTTCGGCCAATTGACGGCCGACTGTTTTAACCATCCCCAACCTTTAGATCTCCTTATTTGGAGCATTTCTAACCCCATTTCAACCAGGGGACAAACAATAATATCGCCAGAAATGAATTTAAAGTTTTTCCATACTTTCGGGGGTAACTCTAAAACTGATACTTTCCCCCGGAAATAAAGGTCAAATTCGATTAAATCAGACCAAAATACACAAAATAAATACATTTCTAAACTACTAGGGCATAATGGCCGAAACTGCAATTTTACCAGTAGTAATTTTGGTGTTAACAGCAATAATCAATTGGTAGAGAATTTAGGGATAATTCAAGGTTTCTGTAAAATTTTTGGGTAATTATATAGGACTAACCAGCCGGTCCGACTAATTACCCAAATGTACCCAAATGTAGCCGCAATGAAGTCAAATAATGGTCCTACATGAATAGATCGGACTGCCAACCACTTCTCGACTAGTATTTGGTGTCAAAGTCACAAAAAATTGGAAAACTTAATTTAAACTGAATTAATAGATTGCGTGCTTGTACCGAGGGCGCGAGTAATTACCCAAATGAACCCAAATGTAGTCGCAATGAAGTCAAATGATGCTCCTACAAGCGTAAATCGGGCTGTGAATCACTTCTCGATTATTATTTGGTGTCATAAAGTCACAAAAAACTGGTAAACTTAATTTAATCTGAGTTGTGTTAGGTTAGGTACATGCACTCGATCTATTAACTCAGATTAAATTAAGTTTACCAATTTTTTGTGACTTCGTGACACCAAATACTAGCCGAGGTTAGGTTAGGTTAGGTACATGCACTCGATCTATTAACTCAGATTAAATTAAGTTTACCAATTTTTTGTGACTTCGTGACACCAAATACTAGTCGAGAAGTGATTGGCAGTCCGATTTATTCTTGTAGGACCAACATTTGACTCCATTGCGGCTACATTTGGGTACATTTGGGTTCATTTCGGTAATTACTCGCTCCCTCGGTACATGCACGCGATCTGTTAACTCAGATTAAATTAAGTTTACAATTTTTTGTGACTTCGTGACACCAAATACTAGTCGAGAAGTGATTGGCAGTCCGATTTATTCATGTAGGACCATTATTTGACTTCATTGCGGCTACATTTGGGTACATTTGGGTAATTAGTCAGACCCCTAACCAGCGGCCGAAATTGATTGATAACAATTATAAAAACGCCGGATTTTCCCTGTTATTTTATAGAGGACACGGTTATTTTTCGTTATCCACCCATCACCTATTTTTCACATGAAAATTTTTTTTTTTTTTTTTGCTAATTTTCTTGCTGTTTTAGATAATTCTGACATTTATCTTTGGAACAAATCACCTTTTTTTTCTTGTTTTTAAGTTAGGTTAGGTTGGTTGGTTGGTTCCTTTGGTATGGGAATAGGTTATTTTTGGTGTATTACTCAAATCTGACCTCCATTTTTTGTGTAAATTAGGGTTTCTGTTAAATAAAAATGTTAATTTGGGGGAAAAAAAATTCATTTGCACAAAAATGGATGTCAGATTTGAGTAATACACCAAAAATAACCTATTCTCATACCAAAGGAACCAACCAACCAATCTAACCTAACTTAAAAACAAGAAAAAAAAAAGTGATTTGTTCCAAAGATAAATGTCAGAACAGACCTAACCAAACAAACCTACCTAACTTAAAAACAAGAAAAAAAAAAGTGATTTGTTCCAAAGATAAATGTCAGAACAGACCTAACCAAACAAACCTACCTAACTTCCTTACCCCCTGGTATATTAAACAGAAAGAACTTACTATGATATTGTGAAATTTGAGGGATTTTCTGGACATGAGATGATACGGCCACATCGGTGTTATACAGCCCGGGCAGTGGAGTGATTTATTGTGATGGTGGGAAACATCGAGCTACAGCGTTGAGGAAGTAGATGAAAAAATTTCTTTATGATCTGAAAGCACAGGAATTCCCGCAGTGTGGACAGTCTCTATTTAAAGGAACAATGCTGTTGTCTTTGAACAATTAAAGGGTCTCGTTGTCTTTATCCCTAAATTCACAAATTACGTACATTTAAGACTGGCGACAACCTTAACACGACATGCTGAAAAACAAACTGCCCCGGGCGCTGTAAAAGCGCCTCAGCTAAGCGTGGCCTCCTTACCGCCTGGAAGACAAACTAGTGCGCACCTAGGTGCCTAATTATATATGAAATGAAAAATTTGCACAATAAATTACTATCATTTCAGAACTCTGATGAAAATAATGTAAAAAATAAACTAATAAAAATAGCTCGTCCGCAGGTTAGTCGTATATATTCACCAATTTTAGTTTCGGTCCTGTTTATATAGATATCCAAACCACTTTTTTTTTTTTTTATCTAACATAACTTAACCTGATATTATTATCGTTTTGGTCATGCGGTGAATTTTAGGATTTTAAGTTTAGGTTAGGTTCCGTTGTTTTATTTTGTGTGTGTTTTGAACGATTCTGATCTACTTCCAAATAGGTGTCTGACTGAAACGATACTTTTACTCCTAACCTAATCTAACCTAACCTAACCTAACTTTACCTAACGAACCTAGCCATAGAACCCAGGAACTATATCTAACTAAATATAAATTCCAAAGATTCCCCGGATGACCAAAACTATATTAATACCATATTAGGTACAGTCGGGGTCAAAAGCCTTGAACACTTAGCAATATCTGGTATCTACTTCTGAGTTATACATACAGTATATGATTGGGATATACTAATAACACTACTTGTCATCACATATTATGCCTGAACCACAAAATGGGATAAAACTCTCCTTAATACCTAAGATCTTCGGGTACTTACATGCCAAATACTGTCAAGTGTTCAAGACTTTTGACCCCGACTGTACATTATTAATTTATAACAGAAGTGTACACAATGAAAGTTATCATAAAGTCATTTAGATTTATAGCGACAGTTGGATTTCGGGGTGAACTAATAAAAAAATATTTCTGAATTTTTTTTTTTTTTTTTTTTTTTTAGTCTTCCCAAAAATAAAATGAATGCAGTCCAACTCGGCCTATTGCCAACTCGCACCATCAAATACCAACTCAGACCATCTCGAATAACCAACTCGGACTAAAAAGTATAAGTAAAGGTTTACAGATTTATTTTTGCATGGATGATAAAAGTACAAAAGTACAATGATAAAAAGCAGCATAGGTGTACAAACATTACTGATAAACAGCCATGTGATGTGTGTAGCCATTGAATAGAATCACAAGAAAATACTTAAAAGTTTACCCTTTAATCTATGCATGAATGACAAAAGTTCACTGTTAAAAAGCAGCATAAAAGTACAAGCATTACAGATAAACAGTCACGAGATCTGAGGTTGACGAGTTCCACAACAATGTTCCCACAGAGGGCGACCTCACTTTACCTGGTGACTTGACAACGATAACCTCACAAAATATGGCTGTTGAGGATGACCTGATCACGAGATCTGATGTTGACGAGTTGCGCAACAATTTAAATAATGAGTTACTTGATGCACAAAGGCAGAACATACCATACAGAAAACTCAGAGCAGACAACAATGACCCTAAATGGGTAAATAATTATTTAAAGAATATTATTGGCCAAAGGAAGGCTATAGGTAAGAGAATAAATCGTGGTGAAGTTTACCTCCGAGATGATTATAGGATTATTATTGGCCAGTAGGGTTAAGACTGAGATAAGAAAAGCAAATAGGAATAATGAATTGAGGGTAGCAAGGGAGGCAAATCAAACACCAAGGGATTCTTGCAAATGTATCAAACTAAAAAACACGAGACAAGATTGGACCAATACGATGGAGAAATGGGCATTAATCTGAACAGATATTTTTCAACAATTTTCACCATCGAAAATTTAAACATGATACCCGAGGTACCGACTATATACAGAGATAGTGAAGAAACTGGATTAAGCGAGATAGTAGTGACTAGTAACGATGTTAGTAAGCAATTAGACAAGCTAAAGCCTATTAAGTCACCAGGTCCTGATGAGATATTTGCCAGAGTATTAAAGGCATGTAAGGGAGAGCTTAGTATGCCATTAGCAAATTTTTTTAACATGTCATTAAACATGGGTGTAGTAAAAGAATCCTGGAGGATAGCGAATGTGATACTGATTTTCAAGAAGGGAGATAGATCACTATCCTCTAACTACCGTCCAATCAGTTTAACATCAATTGTAGGCAAATTACTGGAAGCAATTATTTCAATCTATTCGAAATCACCTGGAGAAGCACAAGTTATGAATGTGAATCATGGTTCATTGATCAAGTTCTACTAACATACTCATAAAATTCGTCCTTCAAACCGATTGAATCCTCGGTATTCACTCATTCTCACTCTTCGTATTTCACTGAACCAAAAGGGACATAAAGCAAATCTCAAACTCATTCCTGAACCTCTAGTCACCTACTTGCTTGAGGTGTACAAGGTGTGCCGAGTTAGTAATGTGTGGGCCCATTGGTTATTTAAGATAGGCCAAGTTGGCTAACTGCGTGGGCCAAGTTGATTCTTTAAGATGGGCTGAGATGGAGGTACAGTACATCAAATAAAACTATGTCCATTAAACATAAGGAGCAAAATTTAAGCAAATAAAAAAAAATTTTTGTCTAGTTAGTGGATGGAGTAAAGAGTAAGATTTACCGATTAATTTTTAGGCTATACAAGTAGCAGGAAATTTATTACCAAAATAAGTTTTTCTTCTTTAATTTTTTCTTGTTAACAGTCAAAAAGGTAATCTGGAT